GCTTTTCCCCAGGGGCCTATCCCCCACCTCTGAGGCCTCTTGCCCCCTACCCCTGTCTGCCCTCTTGTTCTGGTTTTCCTGAAAGCCCAAGTCCCTGGCTCTCTTTTTTCCCTCCACATTTTTCTGGTCTATCTTTACTCAAGCCCCATCCTCTCTTCATTCAAATAAAATTTCTACTCGATTTCACTACTGTGTCTCTGCCCTTCAGTTCTTTGTTGTGGCGGGACAAGAACTGAGGAAAATACACTCAATCCCCCAACAAAGGTATTATTTGAATCCACTCCAAGGGAGGAGCGGCCAGAGCCAAGGCAAAGGCAGACTTAGTTGAATAAAGCAGAGAGGAAGGGGAAACGGAGGAAAGGGAAGATCACTGAACTGACTCCTGCTCAGCATTGGGCAGATCCCTTGCCGGCTCCTAAAGACAGTGTCACCTGGTGTCCTGTGTCTGCCTGACTCTTCACAGCGTGGGAACTCCCTATCACCCCAGGATTTGGGGGAGCCACAGAGCACTGTGTGGAGTCAGATGTTCTGGGAACTTCCCAAACGCAAAGAAAGGAGGTTTTCGGGCAGGCTGCTGAAGGGCATGATCGTACAGCTGCAGTCCTGTCCGGGTCATCCAGGTGACAGGAACTTGCAAGCCCAAATGAGAGCTCTCAGCAGCTCCTCCCTACTTATCTGGAGTAGAACAGACAGAGTGACACACTAGAACAAAGGCGAGTGTGGGCAACACAGAGAGGCGGCACCCTTAATGGCTGAGTCTGGTGTTTTATAGGGCCTTTTGTAGGAGTCAGATAAGGCATGATATATACAGGTGATTCATAATTCCTTTGAAGTTCTGTCTTAAGAACAGGGTTCTTTAGGTGACTATGTTGGTTTGGGACTTCAGCATTCTTTGTCTACATAGGTTTATTTACACTTCCCAGGTCTGTCTTCCACCCTGGTTACAAAGTTACTTGATTAAGGGTCTGGAAAAAACAGCATCTTTGTTAAGTTAAAGAATAAATTGGGCCTTTTAGCAGGCTAAGTAGATTTTACAATGGCCTGTTCTAAAGGACATGGGCTGTGCTCGGATACTTTTCTTTCTCTTGGGAATATCCGGCTATTCCAAGACACTCCTGGCCTTTGAAACTTCAGCTAATAACTCGTGAATTCTGTGAGTCCTTTCCGGCTCTCTGGTTTTATCTGGTTAACTCTTTTGAGTCCTTTTTAGTGAGTTTTACTGCCTCTATTCTCTCTCCACCCCACTCATGTCTATTTTTCTGCCTAACATCTTGACAGATGTAGCTGAGAGACCATTAACAGCACCTTGCTCTCAGCAGTTGCTTGCAGAAATTGTCATCAGTAAGAACTTTCCAACATTAAAGTCAGTTTCTTCTTTACTAAATTTTATTTTAGGTATCATTAGAAGGGATTAGATTTGAGGTAAGAACTCACTTTAGAAAATTATCTGTAAAATTTAATCTAGCTTTTAATATCTTAAATGGCATGTACAGCAAAAACAAATAAGCCCTCTGAACTTCAACGATAATTCAGGATTTCAAGAAGACATTTTTAGCCTTCTGGGAATGGGATTCTATCCCTTGTCTTCTAAAAGAGGTAAACGTGAAAGTCATACAAAGTGCAAGCACATTTCAAACACGTAGGTGACTACCTGCAAAGACTGAATATACATATACAGAATCTCAACTACCAAAAAAAGCTCAGAGACTGAAGAAAAATACCAAAATATTAGTTTGAAGTGTGATTATGAATTTTTCTTCCTTTTACATGTCATTCTATGCACTTTTTGTCAGACATGTTTTCCCCTTAAAAAAAACAGTAAAATGAATTTAAATTATTTTAAACATGTAATTATGTTAAACATTATAAATCAAGAATTCTTATTAAAATATCAACACAAGTACTTATGCTTATCCACATTTTATGATGCAGGAGAAGGAATGGCAGAGAGTAAAACCCCTCTGGAATAGGGTGAAGTAGGCAGTGTTGGATGTAAAGCTTGTTTTCATGGATTTTAGTAACATATACAATGGATAGAATGAAATATCCTTACCACTTTTTTTTAAAAGAATGACTTTATTTTACAGAAATGATACATTCACATATTCAACCAATACAGAAAAGCAGAGTCACTCATAATCCACCACTTTAAAAAATCACCAGTGTTAACAGTGGGTGGACGTATTTCCAGACCTCTCCATTTGTATGTAGAGGATTGATGGTGGGAATCACTATACTTTTTATTTTACAAAGTTTCCAGTTAATTTTAATTGAATGCTATAGGAAAAAGTTAGAAACAAAACTAAAGTGACTGGTGAACTTCAGAAAATGTTTCTTCACCATAAGGGCTACTGGTTCCTAAAAGAGCTCAGCTAGTAATTCTCAAAATGGAGCCTGCATCAAAACCCCCAGCAGGGCCCATTAAAACAGGCTGGTGGGCCCCACCCCCAGATTTTTTGGATTCAGTAGGTCTGGAGTGGAGCCACAAATTTGCATTTCTAACAAGTTCACAGGTAGTGGTGATGGTTGCTGGCTGCGGACCTGGTTTTGAGAACCACTGTATTAGGGTCAAGAAAAAGATGGAAAAACGAGGTTGGACACTAGGTGTTTTCTGGCATTGAAACGACAAGGCATGAAAGACAAGGCAGGTAGTAGTCCTCGGCCCACTTCCCCTCCTCCATATCCCAACTGATCAGCGTATGTCAATTTTTCTTTGTCAAGATTTATAACATTTACATTCTGTTCTTGTAACCATTCCTTTCACTGGAATTTTGTTAGGGGACCTGGCATCCTCTCTCTTCTGGGTTCAAATTAAGTGTCAGAACTATGGCTCATTGGACCCAAAGGTGTACCTTCGCCTGCAGGCTCTGGCTTCCCCAGGCTGCTCTGCAACCTGGAAAGTGCCTCATCCTGGTGAATCTTTCCACTGAGGTCCTGAGATGGTACCAAAGGCTTCATCTTCCCAAGGGTTTTTGTTGGCTCTCCTGCATGTGACCTGGTCGCCTCGTCAGTCACTCTGTCTATACTGGGACCCAGCATCACCAAAATGTCAGCTCCCTATCTTTACTCAGTGCTAGGTAGTGGGGTGGGAGCAGGCTTGAAGTCACACCACAACTTGTCGCATCTCCCCCCTTCTTTGTTTGGTTGCTGCTGGTGAATCTGTGGCTGCTGGTTATTGAGTTTACTAGATAATGGAGAAAAGGAGTTTCTGATCCAGCTTTACTCATGCTGCTTCTGCCTACAAGTATCTCCATCCTTTTTTACAAAGCTATTCTAAAATGTAGGATTTATTGGGTAAAATGTGGTCTATATTATATATCTACTTAAATTATTATAATGTAAATATAATAGTTTTTCCAATAGAAAAGAAAATGTATGCTCCAAATACTTACAGTATTTTTCTCTGTGATAAGCTTATGGGTGATCTTTTAAAATTGGAATTTATATTGACATAATTGTAGATTTCCACACAGCTATAAGGAATAACACAGACACATCCCATGTACACTTTACCCAGTTCCCCCTGGCCCATTACATTTTAAAACCAGCAAAACTACCAACAAATAGTGCCGTTTGAGGTTTGTGAAACCAGCAAGGGAGAAATGTGGCCAGAGGATGCCTAACCACGAATGCCAACTTTTCTTTCAACCTCTTGTATGTATGTCCAGTATAGTTCTTAACACTCTATTTTACTATATTACTATTAATATATTGCAATTCTTTGTGATTCTCTTTCCCAACAGTTCATGAGGTTCCTCAGGACAAGAACTGTGTCTTACTATCTTCATCCTCCCAGTGCCAAGGGAAGGGACTAACACAGAGGAGGAAGGGGAGAAGGCAATGGTATGTGACTTATCAAAACAATGTCTCTTCTAAAGTATTATGCATTAGAGAATTCAAATTCTTTCCAGTCAATAAAAATGCTATGGATAACCTTTGATTCAACCTCCATATGAAAATCAGATACTTAGTTACTAATAAACACATTCTACTTGTTATTCATTCAACTAATATTTAATGAGTTCCTACTATGTGTCAAGTAGGATACTGAGAGCTGGGGATACTATGGTGGTGAACAAGACAGACATGGTTTCCCGCCTTATTTTATGCTCTAAATTATAAAGCAAGCCTTTCTTTTAGGTTATAGGTCTTAGGCACTCAATGTTTTCTCATTGAATATACTCATGTTATAAATAGGTATTCTGCAAATAACATGCTTTTTATTTTGGGACAGTGTCAAAAGTATATCTAAAAATGCTTAAATAGGGAATCAGTTGTGGGATGATTAACACTGAATCGACCATTTTACCCTGACATGCTATAATAAATAAAAATAGAGCCAGAGAATCAATGCTTTTTGTTGAGTTGCATTCTGTATTTCATGTCTGTTTTCCCCTATCCAACTGTTTGTACAATAAAGGCAGGCCCCATGTGTCTTGTTCTTTCATACACTGCTCTAAATTAACTCAGGATCTGTGCAATAAGTATGCATTAGCCAAATGGTGAAATATTCAAGGTTTATAACTGTCCCCTAGAATATGGAAATAGATTATTTTAAAATTTAAGGCAGATGTTATGAGTACCTAACACAATATAAAGTTGTCATAGTAATGTGTGCATGCATTTCTTTCTTGCCATTAGTGGAATGTTAAATATATTTGGAAAACCTGACCTATAGAGACAGTACACAGCATAAGTCAGGCCATCTACCTAAATTTATTACCTGATTCTAATGTTTCAAGTGTTCTTGCTTCCCCCTTACTGCTGACCCACTAAGGAAATGGCTTCAATATCTTTTAAAGATATGTAAAAGACAATTAAATGTTTAAGATTTTTCATCACCCAGTCACGAAAAATCAAGTTCTGACCAGATTTTGATTTACAAAGTTGTCTTTGTAAGTGCAGGACAGTGTTTTAAACATCAACAGGTCCTATTCTGGGCTGTAATTCTCATAGGAAATTAAGATAAGGTTCTCACAAACTGGTAAGTAACTTCTTCAAACAGAACGAGCAATAATATTTTATTGCAAGTAAACATTTCAAAACAATTTAACTCGGAATGTATATGTTCTGTTAGGCAGAACACAGGAACATAAAGAAATAAGGTATTGGGGCTTAAAATAGCATTTAAAACATCTTCAGTTTTATCTTAAACATAGTAGGTATTCAATACAACTAAACTGCAAACAAACGTTGTAATATGTGCTTGCAAAATGTATAATGCTGTAGTAGTAAAGTACAATTTCCAAACATGGAGATTTTGTCTGATTTTTAAAAAGCCTTTAAAAATATGATATGCACAAACTTGCCCTGAGGGAAAGTAAGATGGAATAAATATTACAAAATCTTTACATATTTTCCACAATAGCATTTTGAACTTGGAAAAGAGCAAATAATTGTGGAAAAAACTGAATGAACCAATTACTAAAAATTCAGTGCACTCATAACTACCTGATGGAAAATTTGAGGCACCTTTTCTCTTGCCTTCTTATATCATAATATGAAATGTATGGACTATATAGATGTAATCTTCAGAAACTTAGGAAAACTTCAAGTTATAAACCTAAGTGTCATCAGAAAAAGAAAAATCTGGTATAAAATTTGCTACCATAAGGCCGCTGTTTAAAGTTCTTTCATGTACAGACACTATACAATTCAGATATTTGTTATTATTACATAAGCAAAACTTTTGACATATAAATATCTGGATATAATTAAGTTCTCTATGAAACTATGCTCAGAGAAAAATGCATCAACAAATAATGCCCTTTTGAGACTTTTTGCAAAGGAAATTGTACTTAATACAACTTTTAAATTGAATATTGTAATTTAAAAGGAACTGTTAAATGTAAAAAAGTTGAAGCATTCCACTACGAAAAAAATAGTTATTTTAACAAGAAAGTTACTTTATTAGAGCTCTAGTGCCAAGTCTAACTCCTGACAAAAAGAGATGCTCCCAAATATCGTCCTGTAGTGTCATTTCCATCTGTAACAATTCCAGATTAGACGGCTGTGGCAATGTTTGTATATTCCTATTAAGAGAAAACAGAAGAAATAGACTTCAAAAGATGCATCAGTTAAAATGTCTGAGCTAGAGTTTTGTTCACATTGCAATTTTCAAGATATTTTAATTTATATAGTACTACTTGCACCCAAGATCCCCACGAAGGTATGTGGAACCCCAAAGACACAAAGTAACAACAGAATACATCAAAGCAGATATCAAATGATAAGTTAGTAGGACAAAGAAAATATATGGCACTCAATACACTGGTATTAATAAGTTGATGAAAACAGTATTCTGCTATTTGGGTGAGTTTCACTGGAGAAATCCCTGGTAAAAAATCATGGCTCTTAAACCTTAGTTCCTCCAGTACGGAGCCTGCTGTACCATACACACAGCCTCTAACTGGTACCTTATCTTTGCTGTCATGTGGTACCTATAAGCTAAAACTATTTGGACTCTCCCAGCTTGGCTGACAGCAGAGAAAGCTATTAGAGGGGGGAAAAGCTTTCTTGTTTTTGGATGGTTACCTACAACATACAAAGATGTAATTCTTCAATAAACACAGAAAAAGGGATTCACAAGAACAATAAAACTATGATTAAAGGGTAATGAACGTGGCTTCTACACTGTGATGCTATACTTAAATTACTAACCACAAACTGGACAAAAGACCATGCAACTAATAAAGAGCAGAAGTAGTAAATGGCATGTTTTTCAGGGACATTAAAAATTTTATTAATACATATATCCTTACCTTTTACTAGGATCTTACATTATCAAACTGAAAGAGATTTAAAAGTTCATTTATTTTTTGGCATTTATATTAGCATGGAAACATTTAATTCCAAACAAAAACAGAGATGATAGAAAATTCTTATTCTTCTTACTATTTTGGTTAATAAAATGGTCAAAATACATGTACATATTTTTGTCATCATTCCTTTAAATAGAGCTAGACTTCATTATATTCCATTTCTTTATTCATTATATAATATCAAAATCATATATTGATCTTCAAATAAAGTATCTGTTGCCTACTAAAAACTTCAAAAGCAAAGTATAATAATTAAACAATTTTTTTCAAGTGAAATGTGTTATTTATAAAAATGTATGATTATTCTGAATCATCTTCACTTCGATATCGTTTCTCTTGGATTGATGCCTCCAGTCTTCCAAATATTTGAGAACTGGTTTTAAAGCAGAATGCTGAACTAGATTTATGAGTACTACCCTCGTCTAGGTTTTCACAACTTGACACTGTGTCATTGCAAATGCTCCCTTGCTGGTCTTCCTGTATCTCATCTCCTCCCTGGAGCCCTGCCTACTCGCCACTCACCAAGCAATCATGTCAAGTACCACTTTCTCCTTCTCAGTCTAGGAAGATACCCTACTGCTATCACATCACATGCTCAATACTCTACCCAGCTGTCAAGGGCCCATATGATTTGCACACCCTTATCTCCACCCAACTCTACATTCTACTCCCAAACTGGATCTTTGGCTTCTATGTCCTGCACTTCTCTATGACTCAGCTCACAACCTACCTCCTCTGTAAAGAGAACAGAACTTCAAAGTACTTAGCATACATTCCCTGACGATTCTAACATATTGATCTTTTCCTCTTCTCTTTAGGCATTTACCACCTGTGAAATTAAGCTCTTCAAAAGTATGGTTGTGCAAAAAAGAGTTACTGTAGCATACCTGACTGCTGTCTTTTGAAAGCCCTGCTTACAAGGTTGGCCTTTGGCTGGCATCTGGGAACTTAGATTTGGGGAGGGTTCCCACCACTGATGAGTGCCTAAACTGTGTAGACGATATAGTCTATGCTGAACACCCACTTTCTTCTGAGAGCTGGAATTTGGGTATGTGGCTGGCAGGGGTGCCTACATGACCAGCCCCCAGTGAACTTCCTGGGCATTGTGTCTCTAATAAGCTTCCCTGGTAGGCAACATTGCCCATGTGTTGTCACAGCTCACTGCTGGGGGAATTAAGCATGTCCTGTGTGACTCCACTGGGAGTGGCCTCTTGGAAACTTGCACCTGGGGTCCTCTGCACTGCACCCGTGTACCAGTTCCCTGTGCTGATTGTGCTGTGCAGCCGCCCACTCACTGTGACATATCACAGTCACCAGGGCCACTATATGCTGAGTCCTCCTAACCAATCACCCAACCTAGGGATGGTTTTGGGGTGCCCTGACACAATGGCTGCTGTTCACTAACTTTTTAGAGCTATGGATGTGTATGTGTGTGTGTGGGAGTGTGCGTGTATGATTAGATACCATTTCATTCAACAAGCCTTTTTAAAAGATGGACTATCTGAAAGGCGGTAGGGGAAGATATGAAAACTAACAAGGCATTCTCTGTCCTTAAGGAGTTGATCATCTATCTGGGGAAATATGAAGGTAAACAGCAACAGTTGGAGACCAAATGAAATAAGAGCTGACAAAGGGACTTTGGTAAGGCTTTATGGTAGATCTTAAAAGGAAAGCAGGGTTTAAGAAGAAAGAATGGGGATCAGGAGGCTATTTCTAGGCAAGAGAACAGCAAGAGCAAAGATACAAATACATGAAAATATACGTTATGCTCCAAAAAGCAGAAGGTCCACGGAGAAATGTGGTTAGAAAGGTAGCTGACAGCTGGACCTCGCTTACGAGTCTGGTTTCTTTTCTCGTAAGCAACAGAATCCTTGGAAGGTGACTGCATAAGAGGGATCTGATCCAATCTGTGTTTCAGGACAGTGACAGTCCTGGTAGTGAAGGGATGGAATAAGCAAAACTCACAGGAGGCAAGGGAACAAGCTGAGGCTCCAAAGAGCCCAAAAACAAACCAGGAAAACATAAGCATGCAGCATACAGTAAATACAGCATTCTCAGTCACCGGGGAAAGGAAAAGTTATTCAATAAACAGTGTTAGAAAACTGCCTCTCTGCTGGGGAAAAAAATTCGACTCTGACCTCACATTATATCATAAAAATAAATTCCAAACAGAATAAATATTTCTGTTTTAAAAATTAACCATAAAACCCCTGAAAGGAAACACAGTAAGAAATTTTTATAAGCATAAGCATGATATGAAATCTAGAAGCCATATAGGACACACTTGACAGATTCATGAACATTTACAAGTTCTATAATATAAAAGCCACCATAAACAGCTGACAAACATAAAACAAATACCAGCAAAACATAAGACAGGGTAACACCCCAGCAAATCAAGGGCTCTTACAAATCAGTAAGAAAACATACCATCCCTTAACAGAAACATGGACAAAGCACAGGAATAAGGAAACTGAAGGGGGAAATACAAATGGCCAATAGACACATAAGAAATATGCTCACGCCATTAATAATCAAAGAAAGGCAAACAAGAACTGTTTTCTGCTGTTAGACTGAGCATGGATAATAAAGACTGGTAATGTGGGGCACCAGCTGTAGTGCAGGTGAACAGGCTCTTTCATGTGCTTCTGGTGAGACTCTGAATGATTAAGGGGGCACTAACAAGATACCAAAATTTCAATACGCTCAGCAGTGTGACCAAAACTAATGAAAGCCTGTAAGCTATCTCCAAGTCATCAACAGAGGCTTGGTTAAGTCCGTCAGCAACTGTCAAATGGGCTATGCATATCCTTAGGGGTATGTGAAGACTTCCCAAGGAGCATGTGGGTACAGACCGTTTGCAGGGAATTAATTTCCAGATCTTCAAATTCCCAATGTTCACTTTCCAAAATGAACCTGCCTGCACAACTGGTTAAGGCTGGTTCCCCACCTCCCACTTGACCCAAGAAAGATACACCTTCTCATCCTGAGTCTTACTACTTTGCATTACCTGGGCACCCCCAAAAAAGGAGCAATTGGAAATACTGGTGGTGGTGTCAAGAAAATGAACCCACCCTGGCAGCTAGTAATAAATAGCATACTTCTGTAAGTCGGATGGTTTCTGATTCTTTGCTTTTATTTAATAAAATTGAAGGAGGACAAAATTAAGGGGCCAGTGAAAGAACAGATGGCAGTGAAAGGCAACAGGAAGGCGGGGCCATAACCTACACTGGGCCCTAACTCTAACTGCATCATTTTAGATGATACAAAAAGCCTAGGCCCTAAAGACTGGAGACCTACAGCAGGTTGTGGCCCCTTCTAGGGCATACTTCTTGTGGCCTAGGATGAAGGCTTGATGTCTGGTTTCTATTTGCTTTAAATGACGCTAGTTGTCAACGTGGGCTGAAAGAACTGGGTAGTGAGCAGGAATTGGGCAAGATGAGGCAAAGGAGGGAAGGATGAAATGCAGCAAGTGCAATGAGCATATAGAGACTGTAGGCTGAGGCAGTCAGTCAAGTAAGCACTTAGGAGCCCCCAAGTCATCTTAAACACAGAGGCAAAAATGGAGTTAAACAAAGCTAACACTCAAAGTTCAGCACAGATGTAACAGAAGAGAAACACACAACATGTGCCTAAAACCCGACCTTGTGACTGAGGAGAAGGCTTGCCTCGGCCTTTCTCCTCACGTGACACCAATGTTCCCCAACAACAGCCAGGCTACCCGCTATGACAGGGGACAAATGCCTAGAAGATGTGCTGCAAAGAAACTTGCCACATGAGACAGGAAGAGAAGCGGTACCTCAATCCAACAGTAGAGTGGGGGAAAAAATAACCCCAATCACACTCACATTTTAAAGAGATGGCTTTCATAACACCCAGAGTGACACACATGGAGTAATTAGAAACCTCTTCTAAGGCACTCAGTTAAAATTGGGGTACGGGTGGGGAGCAGTTACAGAAGATGTTATATTTAACCCTAAACTTAAAGAAAATAAGTTGTCAACTCCATTCTACTAGTCCATCTTACAACAAATAAGTTTTACTAAAATCACTAAGTAAGCTCAGTGTAAAGGCTTCATGAGTACAAACATGTAAGGAAGTATTTATGGTTTCTAAATCTATAAAATCACAGTTGGACTATTTGACAGTAACACTAGATATATACACATTTCTCAGAAGAAAATGTTAGCCCAAAATTATTAACAAAAATTAGTAAAAAAATTGACAAACATGCCTCACTGAAGTGATGTAATGCTACTGTTCTCTTTTAAAATACGTAGAACATAATTTTATATATTTTTACTGCATGTTTACATATCAACATGGCAGATTTGAAGAAAACCAATCCACAACTAAGAGTACAAAATTTATATTACCAAGTAAAGAAATTTTTTATTAACATCAAGAGTTAACATATAGTGGTGATGGTTGCACAGAATTATGAATATAATTAATACTAAACTGTATACTTAAAATGGTTAAAATGGCAAACTACATTATATATATTTTGTCAATAAAAAACTATATATGAATGGGGAAAGAAGAGTTAGTGTATTTTGCAATTGCACCCTTTTTATATAGGCAGTTCAATATTTTGTGGCACTTAGATAATTCACATTGTTTAAGGCTAAGACATATCAGTGAAAAGTCTTTTTATCTAATTTCCACTGCAAAGGTTAATCATACAATAGAAATTCTAAAGTAGAAAGCTCAAACAGCTTATTCAAAGTATTTGAGGTATAAAAGCTAAAAGCATTTTAAGATTAAACATTCTCACAACTCTAGTACCCCTACACCTTGAAGTTTTTCTTTACCATGCAATAAGAACATTTTTGAAATGAAATCTAGGTTGTTTCTTAAGTCAAAATTAAATAGAAAGCCCAATTTAGTCATCAAATATGGATAATTTAGGAGTTCAAAAGTCACTCAACATTTTAAAATAATCATAATCCAACTAACCTTTTTCTTCCTCAGTAATCTTTCTCTGTATTTATTAGTGATAAATCCCCTCCTTGGACCAGCAAACCGTAAACGCTGATATTTAGCCTGAATGTACAAGCTCTTCTGTACTAGGCCTGATTTATAACGGGGCTGGAATTTGCCACCTGTAAAGTTGTTCTGTAAAGGAAAAAACAATTAATGTTAAAACTACAGCTCCCAAACCTAAATGTCAATTGACAGATGAATGAGTAAAGAAGATGAAGTACATATATACAATGGGATATTACTCAACCATAAAAAAGAATCTTGTTATTTACAACAGCACTGATGGACCTAGAGGGTGTTATGCTAAGTGAAGTAAGTCAGATAGAGACAAATACCGTATGATTTCACTTATATGTGTAATCTGAAAAATAAACGAACAAATGAATAAAACAGAAACAGACTCATAGACACAGCGAACAGACTGGTGGTTGCCATAACGGAGGCAGGTGAGGGGAATAGGTGAAATAAGTAAAGGGGGAAAAGAAATTAGTAAGAATGTTTGGTATCTTGATCTGGGTGATGGTTATATGAGTGTATACACATCTCAAAATTCAATAAGTTGTACACTAAGATTTGTACACTTTATTAGATGTACCTCAATAAAAAACAAGCAAGTGAACAAAAACACTACAGCTTCCAAATCTATTTTATTAGTATGAGAAATAGATTCTAGGCACTACAGACATCCAAAGCAAAGAGGCTGGTGATGGTAATTTTCCTCAAACCAGCTTCCTACCTCATTTTATATAATAATTCAGTTTTTTATATACTTTTTGTTGAAATATTGTTGATATACAATTATATTGGCCTCAAGTATACAACATAGTGATCTGACAGTTACATACATCATTAAATGCTCACCCCAACTAGTGCAGCTATCTGTTAACATATAGAGAGATGTTACAGAACTATTGACTACATTCTCTATGCTGTACTTTCATCCCCATGACTCACGTACATTATGATTAAGATTTTGTGCCTCTTTATCCCCTTCACCTATTTCACCCACCCACCAAAACCCCTGCCCCATGGTAACCACTGGTCACTTCTCGGTGTCTCTGCATCGATTGCTGCTTTGTTCATTTTGTTTTGGTTTATTTTCAGATTCCACAAAACCAATTTTTAACACTAAGTTAAAAAATTTGAAATTCATCATTCTAAAAAAAATACAACTTTCAAAACCTCTAATGAGCTAAAATTATCCTTCAGATTCATAGTGAAATATATCAAATCCCAAATTGTTGGGGGACATCAAGTATCAACATCTATGTAAGAATCAAACACTTTCTTAACTTTATTCCTATCAAGTACCTTTGAGCCAATCTTTCTTTACCATAAAAATTCAAGCAAATATTTTCAAGGTAAGAGTTACACTTAAAAAGACCATTTCCTAGCCTGCATAATGACCAATATTACAACAGACATAAGAGGATAACAAATATTTATGTTTCCCATGTGGGAAATGTACAAATGACATATTACACTTGAGTGATTATAAAAACTAAGTAGGTTTGTCTTTCCCCAATTATTTAACAAATGGGTATGTCATGCATAATGAAGCATGTCTAAGTTTTAAAAAGTATTTATGCCAGGTCTATTTTCCAATTATTTTTTTGAGGCTACAAAAATTTTCAGGGAAAGCAGAATTACAATGAGACACTATAATTTTGTTAAAACTATCTGCACAAACGACACATCAGAGCTAACCTTGAGATTCACATTGTGCACTTTTACGTATCTAATAAGGTGTTTACTATGTGGTTTTGGAGTAGTCCACCTCATGTAAAAAGTAAATTATAATGAAATAGCTCTTTGCCTTATGAAGGGTTATTTCTTCCCCCTATTTTACTATGAAGAATTGTGAATTTCTAAGCAATATGTAACATTACACAGCTTTAAATAACTGGTCAAGAGGAAAGATTAGTGTACATATTTTGAAAAGAAAAAAAGATTTTATAGGAGTTTTAGAAAAATACTACAATCAGCTATATCTGACAAATTAGAAAAGTAACAAGTAGGAAGCACCTGTATCTGAAAGCCCACCTATGCTGTCTCTAAGCTATGCAGACATCACATTTTCAGTTGATTTTATGCCTCACTACTCAAGATATTAAAAGATGGTGTAAAACATGTTTATATATTCTATGGTCATAGCTATTTTTGAAAACCTAATGTCACATGTTTTTAAGTACATGAACAACTGGCTAAAAATGTTATCTAACCAATGTCTACAAAGTATGTTATTCCCAGTGAGAAAAATCTTTTTGACTTTTAGAGAGTTTGACTCAAGAAGGCATTAACAGAAGATCACTTGGCTACCCTCCTAGTCTATGGTTTGGGGCTAGTTCATACTGCCTTTCTGCTCATGCTAACTTACTCCCGATAAGCTAACTACTCTATCCAGCCTGCCTGCCACTTTCACATAAAAAGCTCAGACTCTTTTCTTTTTGAGGGGAAGGGGAAAGAGACACTGTAGCGTGCAAAATAAGAATAAAGTATCTATCATTAGCAGGAAATTCAGTCAAAATGGATTTAAAAATCACATCAACTTCTGAGAACAAGGAGAGGGCAACAATACCTAACACTGTAATTATTATTTCATATGTTTGGAGGATAGGGTGTTCTAGATACACATGTTGGTTGATGAAAACTATCCCTTACATCAGACATAGCTGTACAATAATTAGAATGTGATGAAATATACTTTAACAGAGCTTTTTGGACCAGAATCTTTCTCTGATGATCCAGAAGGTCTCTGAGGGTTGCTTGTCTACGGGCAAGGTTTTTCCAATCTGTGAATCCTGGAGAAGGCTATTCAGCTAGGAACTTACATCTCAGAGGTAGAGGGGTAGGCTTAAGGGGAAGATCCGGGACTTTGCCTGCCTCCCCACCTAAAGTCACTCCATTTGCATCTATTTTATGTTTTTGTGTTTACATGTAATGTTTGAAAAAGGGTTCCACTGGTAAAAAAAAAAAACATTTGAAAATCAAGTCCTGAGGAAAGGGGTCAATATTAAACTGATCACAGTTAACCATAAATGTCCAGAAATGCTAGTTTACAGCTATTATTTCAAATATCACAAAGATAGCTTTTAATTTATGAATACTTAGAACATTATGTTCAGAGCATGAACCCAAAGCTGGAATTAAATGAAAAAATAACACTAGATACCTTAAAAGGTCTTCTAAAGCCTCTTGAGTTTTGATAGTTTGCCTCAACTCCAAATGGTTTGTTAGTAATGCCTTTTCCCTGCATACTATGATAATTCTGCATGAAAAAAAGTATTTCAGGTTTATTTTTAAAAGCTTACTTTACTGTTTAAAAAACACATTTTAAATGTATAGGATTAAGAACACAACCATGTAACATGTAGCTTAGTTGTAGGAACATACACACATCTGCCTTCACATAACCTATGCTAGTTTGTGAGGAGGTAGTTTAATTCATGAATGTGAAAAGTGTAAAAAAGTGACTTTTAGAAAATGGACCATCAATTTATTCAGGTGTCAAGAAGAGAAACAAGCCCATTATTATCTGGAGTTGCCAAAGAGTTCCCACTGCCTCAGAGGAAAACAAATTCTCAACACTGCAGTTAGCAGGTTTTGCTGACTCAGACAATGGATTTGAGGTGATGCTCCTACCAGGACTAGGAAAATATCAGACGTCAGGGTATTAATACTGTAACCACAAAGAACCTGAATCCTCTGATGGGAACAGAAAATGATGGGGTCCATTCTGATGAGTTTCTTTTTAGGTGTATAATCTTCTATTTATTCCATTTGCTATGGAGTCTGTACTTCTCACCATTTTTTCTCTTACACACCTTTATCCCTCTCCCCAGTTTAAAAACAAAAACAAAAGGTGATATAAAACCCTTTCCACAGTAGTTATTTTGAATTTGTCCTGTCTATAAATTTGAATATGTACATAAAGATACATATGAGATAAGACTTCTGGGGGCCTTGGGAGGGAGGGGTGTATTTTGCATGTGAAGGGCTGTGACTCTTTGGGGGCCAGTAGGAGGATGGTGCTGGGCAGCTTCTGAGCAGGCTCCCAGTGATCCCCACCTTACAGTATCCAGGGCCCTATGTCATCCCCTTCCTTTGAGTATGGGTTGGACCTAATGACCTGCTTCTTACAAATAGAGTATGGTAGAATTGATGGGATATCACTCTGGAGATTAAGTTAAAGATAGACTCTGGCTTCCATCTTTCTAGCTGTTGCTTGCTCTCTTAGAAAACTGCCATTCTGTGATATGCCCTATGAAAAGGTAAATCTTTAGAAACAGAAAGATTAGTGGTTAGCTGGGGTAAGACCAAGAAATAACTAAACAGGCACAAGAGCTCTCATTGGGACCACAAAATGTTCTAAAACTGGATTCTGGTGATTGTTACATATCTTGGTAAGTTTATGAAAAATAATAAATTGTACATGTAAAACTGGTGAATTTTATGGTACATAAATTATACCTTAATAAAGGTTCCAAAAAAATCTTAAGTCCAAAAAAGCTAGTACTATAATACATGCAATAAATCCTGCTAAATTAAATAAGAGATGACCAATTCTTCTGTCAGAACTATAAGCCTCAATAAAACCCTAACGCTGAACAATGGAATCATAACATGTACTTAATGAACAGTTACAAACTTGAAAAGTACTGGTGATCTCCCTATATACAGATATCCATGAAGAGAATGGAATGTACAAAAATGAAAGTTTGCAACTGCAATCTTACCATGTAAGGTTTCTGAGTAAATTTTCTAAAATTCGATTTTATAAAACATGTAGGTTTTTGGAATCCATCAGCATTAGTATTCCTCAGCCTTGGAAAATGAGAATTCTGATCATTCCTAATAGAATGAAAGAGAAAATAAGAATCTTTTATTAGTCTACCTTTATCTAATAAATAAACAAGAGAAAGCAAATTACTCCCTTTAGAAACAATTAAAGCAACACGATAGTAAAAAAAAAAAAAATCTCAAAGCTCTATCACTACTAAAATTACAGATGATAGTTATCAGGGCTAAACCCCTAATCTTTCAACAAACATTATTTAGCTAAGTTGGCAGATAGCAATAGGGTTTGAAAAACAGCATTCCCTGGACTAGGGTTCTCAATCTGGGGTCCAGGGATGGGTGTCCCTGAAATCATACGTAGAACGCGTTCTTTCTGAGGGAAGATAATCACTGCTCTTAAGCTTCTGGCAACAACAGACCTCCCTTGCCAATACTCCTATTGCTGAAAGCACTGGAGACAAGTCGGGTGACTGGTTCAGGTCCCCTCTGTGACAGAGCTGGGGCCTCTGATACTGCTGGGCCACAGCAGCAAAGGACAGCTTTCCTCTCCTGTCATCATGAGATTCAGAGGCCTCCAAGCACTTTTCCCAGGCAGTCCTATCTGAGAGGGAGGTTCTTCTCTGACTCTGGGGCCTCATCTCCACAGCCCTTGGGGAGTCCTCTCCCTGTCACATCCCACATGTCCCTGCAATGTTCCCCAGACTCCTCCTGCTCCATGAACAAACTGTTCACCGCTTTGGCCCTCCTTCAGTCCCTACCACAGGTCCCCCACTGATAAAATCCACACTCCTCATTATCACCCCCAAGGCTCGTCATGCTCTGGCCCTTCCTGCCATGCTGGCTGCTTTGTTCCAATCTTCCCAACATGCACACTAAGCTTTGAGAACATTTAGCTATGTGCAGATGCCAGCACACGCCACAATCTCTCCTGCTTCCACACCTCTACACAGGCAGTTTCTTCTGTTGTAATTTCCTTCCACTAAGATCAACTTCAATATTTAGCTCCAATGCAACTGCTCCTGGAAGGTTTTCCCAGACCCCTCTGAGGTGGAATAGGCACTCCTATGTGCATGCACAGCATCTGGGGGGGTCCTTACATCCATTGCTCATGTGTATAACTGCTGGTGTACCTGTCTGTCCCAACTAAGAAGCCTGACCCCTTCACAGGAGGTACTATGGATGGTTTGTTTTGTGGCCCCAGCTCTGATCCCAGAACCTGACATGGAATAGACACTAAGGGTTTTTCAAAATATTAAAAACTCCCATGTTCCATCAGAATGCTCATGATATGATAGTAGATCAAAAGAGTAGGGTGCAAAGCCATATACTGAGAATCATTTCAATTATTTAAAATATACACATATATGGCCAGAAAAATATAAATGACAGGAAGTGTACTAAATAGTAACAGTGGTCATCTCTAAATGGTGAAATTAAGAATGCCTTATACTTTTGCTTTTATATTTTGTTATATGTTTCCAAATGTTTACCATTAGCATGTACTACCACTTCCATAAACCAAACAATGGACTTTAAAAATTCCTCTTTACAAAGCATATATCTGATAAGGGAGTAGTATCCAGAATATATAAAGAACTCTTACTCAGTAATAAAAATACAATAATTTTTAAAATGGGCAAAGGATTTGAGTCGATATTCCTCCAAAGGAGATGCAAGAAAAACACATGAAAAGGTAGTCAACATCATTAGCTATTAGGAAATGTAAATCAAAACCACAATGAGACAGCACTTTATACCCACTAGGATGGCTACAATCAAAGAGATGGCAACACCAATGTTCATAATAGCATTATTCACAATAACCAAAAGACGGAAACAACCTAAATGCCCATTAACAGAAAAATGGATGAACAAAATGTGGTATACCCATATAACAGAATATTATGCAGCCTTATAAAGGAGTGAAATTTTAAAAAATGGACTACTGACATATAACATGGATGAAAACATTTTGCTAAGTGAAATAAGCCAGACATAAAAGGACAATTATTATACGATTCCACTTATATATGTGAGGTACCCAAAACAGGCAAATTCATAGAGATGGAAAGAATAGAGGTCATGGGTGTGGAAGGGTGATGCTATTAGTGGATGGGGCGGAGGGGTGGGGAGTTACTATTTAATTGGTACAGAGTTTCTGTTTGAGAAGATGAAAAATTTCTCAGAGTGGATAGTGGTGATGGTTGGACAACATTGTAAATGTACTTAATGTCAATGAATTATACAGTTAAAAATGGTACAATTTATTATATGTATATTTTACCAAGATAAAAGAACTTAAAACCCTTTGATATTTGATTTTTGACTAGGCAAATAGGTGTCTGAGTTAAAGAATCTATTTCCTAGCCTCCCTGAAGCTAAGTATTGCAGGAGACTAAATTTTGACCAATGCTGAAGTGTCATGTGTAAGTTCCAGGAAGTGTTTAAAGAAAAGGCTAGAATGTAGATAAGATGGCTAGGGCACAAATACCCATATTGGACCATGAAGCAGATGCCATATGCAGAGGAAGTCTGGGGAGCAAGATCTAAGGAACCTGGTCCCCTAAGGGCCTATCGTACCATGCTCTGACTTCCTGTCTCTCATCTTTTTCTTACATAAGAAAGATACAGTTTTTTCTCTACCTCTTACAGCCCATTCTCCACCCAGCAACCAGAGTGAACCTTTTACATTTAAATGAGATTACATCTCTTCTCAAGTTAGAACCCAAAGTGTTTTCTAATCTTACTCAGAGTAAAATGCAAAGACTTCATGTCCCTCAAGGCTCTTCATGATTTGGCCTCATTCATTCACTCTCTCCCTTTTTCAATTTGTTACAGCCTCACTGGTCCCCTTTTCTAGTCCTTAAACAACAGCAAGCATGATCCTGCCTCAGGGTCTTTGTATTTGCTGTTCCCTCCCTTAAAATACTATCCCCCCAAAACCTCTATGGCTAACTTCCTCACTTAATTCACATCCCTGCTCAATTTTTAAAAATAATTGTGTAAGTGCATTCCATGACTATCCTAAATAAAATCACACCACACATAGCACTCTATTCTCTCAAACTTGCTCTTCAACCTTACTCTTCACTTAATCACTCACTGACATGTATTTGTTTCTTTTCTTTCTCCTACCATTAAATTTTAAGCTCCATGAGGGCAAGGGCCTTGTATATAGTTTTCTCTGTATCCTCAGTGCTTAGAGCAGTGACTAGAACATAGAAACTAATATACAAATATTTGTTGAAATATGAGTAAAAGATCTTTCTAAAGTTAACTCTGGTTCAGTATAGATTGTGGATTCTTACAATAGCAAAAATAAAATCTGATGTTTTCTGTAACCTGCCTCACTAAAATGAAAGTCTCAGCAGTTTGATGTTCTCTCAAAGTTTACTGATACTATTTTGAAGCTGCTTTATCACATGTACTATGCCTATCTAGCACAGTACCTCAATAACACCACGGGGAACTTAGCAATGCTGGTTATAAGGTAGAGAAATAGTGTGTCAGGAGAAGGCATGCAGACCTTAGGGTAAGAGATTGGTCAAAAGTGGGAGAAAATAGAGAACAGGATCTGATCTTGGAGACAAGACAGAATGCCCTAGTGTTGGGTATGCTTAGGAAAGATTACTTAATGTATCAGGGAATAAACAGTGGTCCAGATTTAAATATAATGCAATATAAGTATCCTCTGTTCTATCTAATCCTTTGAAAAGTCTTCACTCACTCAGTAGCTATGAATTGAGCTCAAGGAAGTGGGGATACAGTGGGGAGCAACATAGAAAACAGCCTGCATACAAATTTTAAGGGGCAAAAAATCACACAGGTGGGAAATTGCTACATCCTATGATTTATGATTCCATCATATCTCATTTCTTCTGAATTCTATGGAAATCTATACACTGGCTTGCTAAAACGTTTTATGCAAAAATGTTAATGAGGTCGGATGAGATTCAAGATGGCGGCATGAGAGGTGAGACAGAGAATTCCTCCCAAAACCACATATAGTGTGCAAATATAGTTAATACAACTAGCCCTAAAACAACAACAGGAAAGAAGGCTGCACCAGACTACATACAGACCTCAAGAACAGAGCAAAACTTCAAGAAACAGGGTAACGTAGGAAAGCCTTGATCTAGCGGGACCGGAGCGCTTCCCCAACCCCAGATAACAGGTGGGAGGAAGAGAAATGGAGCGGGGAGGGGGTGGAAGCCTAGAATTGCTGAATACCCAGCCCTGGAGGTCTGCTTTGGACCACAGACCTACACTGTGTGGTGCTCTGGAGATTGCTGGGGTTGGGGAGCTGGGACAGGCAGAGTGCTTGAAAGACTGAGACTCCAGCCATTTGTGGAGGCCGGGGATCCACATCCAGCCATTCTAGAACAAAGGAAAGGCAGACAGTCTGAGAGGCTTCCTAGCAGAGAGAGGGCTGCTGAAGGGGCAGGTTTTGCACGGAGCTTGCTACGCAGCAGAAGGGATAGGTAGACAAGGTTGTCTGGGAGCACTCTACCCAGCAGGTTGGGAACTTTGAGGAGCTTCAGGCGCCCCATTCCGCTGGTTGCCTAGTCAGCTCCAAGACCCCCACTGTGAGATGCAGTCTGATGAACCTTCCTCCTGGCCTGACGGCACCTGCTCGCAAGCTGGCAGTCACTGCGCTGACGTCAGAACAGCTGGAGGGAGGCCCCACCTAAACAGCTAGAGATGCCAAGCAGAGAGGCTTATACCTGTGTGCTTGGCCCACTGGCTCTGATACTGGAGACAGGCACTGCAGCCGGGAAGCAGGAAACAGCTCTTTCCTGCCTCCAGGCACCAGCACTGCTTCCCTACAACCCCCAACCTCACTCTAGGGGCTGAGCAGCTCCAGAGACTGGAGCCTGGGGCACTAGAGGGCATCACAGAGAATAATGAAATGTCAAAGGAACCTGGTTCAGACCAAAATCTCACAAACCCCAGAAAAAGGGCCAAATGAAACTGAACTCACCAATCTTCCTGAAAGAGAGTTTAAAATAAAAATCATAAACATGGTCATGGAGGTACAGAAAAATATTCAAGAA